CAGTAGAGCCACGCAGTGGCGCTAAGGATATACTTATTGAGCGCTGGAAGCACTATATATTACACACACTACATAGTCGAAGATATAAAAGGGTTTTAAGTAAAGAGACGCTTGATGCGCGCTGATGATGTTGTATGTCTAACATACTGTATACTTCCAGTTATTGTTGTTATACCTATACACACGGGGGAAGAAAGGGTTTAAGGGCGATATCGGTCCACAGCAGCAGCGGCGGAACCATACAGTAATATAATTATAAATACCGTAGACATTCCAAGCTGCGCGTTGCACGTATGTATATATGCATTCGTCTCTGTCTCTTGTGCTGCTCGAACATGGCGCGTCCCCATGGCAACGCTCAACCCATTGGAACCAGTGGATCCTATATACGTATATCATGCACGTATACACATGGGTATAGGGTATGTTTGGGTGTCTCGCTGAGAGATATAGGTATGCACGTTAGCCCGCGCTATGTACACATATATATTTACACTATCGTGGTCGATATTGCATATTGTCTTGATATATTCATTTATCCCAATTACGCTCGCTATTCAACGTAAAAAGCGTCCGGTTAGGAGATCGGGTATTCTTTTTTTTTTTTTTTTTGCACCGCACATTTTCGTCGAGAATTAGTATCCAACTGTATATTATTCAGTGTGCGTATATTGTATGAAACGTAAACGTAAAAAAAAAAGAAAGAAAGAAATAGAAAAAAATTCCATGCAGATAAATTAAAAACGGGGCATTGCGTGTATTTTTATGCGTGACAATTTTCGGCTACTAATAAATCGTGTACTGCGTACCTACACCCCTATTGTCCGCGTTTGTTATCTTACACTTGTATATAAAAAAAAATAATTTGCCCGAGCGTCACATTTATATACATATACGTAATCGCGGCTCAACATTTTTTAAAATGATTTATTGTCAATGCATATAATATATATACATACATTTACGCGCGCAAATATTTGCTCGAGAGAAGAGCGGTTTCAATATCTTTCCTCTCGTTTTGTTTTCTCGTTTCCATTGAAAAGTCTCGAAAGAGGAGCGAGCCGCCGAATAACCTGGAGCTCGTCCAAAATCGTCGATGATTGAACGCCGAACGGACACACACGTATACATACATGTGCGAGCATACATGCCCACGCGTCGTCGGTGCGCTCTTTTAGGACGAAGGACGACGGTGGAGGAAGAAGAAAAAAAAAAAAAAAAAAATTAAGCCATCGACGGCCTTGACGAAGTTTCAAGACACACGCACTTTCGGGACGAGTCCCCCAATCCCTCCTTTTAAATGCAGTCGGGTGACACAATGCTACTTCGATAAATCGGCTACGATCGGTTGAAAAAAAAAAAAAAATAAAGCTCTCCTCTCGCACGCATTACCTGGGTTTCGAGGTAGCCTGGCGGTACTCGCAGTATAGTGATGTTACATACACGTCGGCGTTGTGTCTTTGGCAATCGATTCAGCAGAGCAGTGGCAGCAACACACCCACGCACCAATAAACCAGACACTCGCGCGCGCGGCCACAAACAGACAGACGAACGGACGAACGGAAGGAAGGAATGTACATATACAGCGACCGATGAACAAACGCGTTTTTTTTTTTTTTTTATATTCCGCTGGCGGCGAATCCCTCGACGTACACGCGTACACGTATGATATTATAACACATGCGTATAACATACGCAGAGGAAGAAAAAAAAAAAAAAAAGAAAAAAAAAACAAATGCACCAATCTCCGCTCGGATCTGATATCTGTCTGGCTTCTGTACAAGGACTGATGCTGCACGCGCTATTTTTCGCCGGAGAGACGCACACACTCCTCCCGTACACAACGTTCGCTCTTCTTCCTCCTACCGTACACACACTCCGTAAGCTCTTCCCCTTGTTCGGCACCGAGGCAGCTGTACAGAGATAAAGATATACTTATGGAGAGAGGGAAGAAAGTATATAGTAGCCTCTCACACGGAGGCTTCGCCGCGCGCTACAATGTAAGACACTGCAGGTACATGACACAACAACGCTGTATGATTGTAATAGCCAGAACGAACCGAAAAATTTGGAGCAGCTCCGATCAAGACGCGCCTAGCCGGCCACCACTACAATTTGGGCAGGGAGGAGGAGGAGGAGTATACGGGTGTGTTCTCGAAATACAATCGGAGGCGCTTACAGGTATATTATATAAATATTATGGTCAGGTGGAACGGTGATGTGCCTGGTGTTGCGAGTAGTTTCGGAGCAGAGCGCGGCAACGGGGCAACTAAAACTACTGTCAAAACTCCGGACTCTCGCAGCCTGTGGATCCGGTGTGTGGCGGCGCTCGACCCGGTATGTATATATAGCTACATGTGCCTTGCCATCATCGGCCTCTCTTCTGTGTTCCAATATACGTTCCGTGTAATACCGATCCGACGGAGACGGAACGAGGCATTACAAACGCGCGACACCCACCACGCCTGGCTGCGGCTGGTTTTTTCCCCTTCGTTGTCCTTGTTCGTACTTATATATAGAGTGTGCGTTACATTTATGTATGTACACAGGAGAGGAAGCCCGAGGAGCTCCGAATCGAACCGATCGCCGACGATCGGGACGCTTTCTCGCGCGCGCGCACGCGGTGCAAGCTCGGCATCACACAAAATATTGTATACTGTCGCCATCGCTCGACGAGCCAGCAAAGTAGAAATTCCCGCGTGTGCTTTTTGTATTTACCTACGCAATAGGTATATATATATGTCTTTTATTATTATCTGCAAGGATATGCCCGCAAGCTCGGTCGCTCGCTTACCCTGTGCAAAACTCGTAAGCTTTGAAAATTTTGTGGTTTTTTTTTTCTTTTCATTATCAATGACGCTTGTAATTGATCCAACACAACGCGCGTGTGTGGACACACGTAGCTTTCATGAGGCCAAGCTGTCAAGTGCCTATACATATAGACGTGCCGTGTTTGGCCCTCAAGAGACGAGAAGATCTTTTTAAAAAGCCCCTCCGGCTTTCAATTTTCTCCTCCTTGACTTTGAAATCATAATGACAGAGTCCCGACGTTCAAACACTATTACCGTCCGTCGCGCGCAGGGCCCCTTAAGGCTGAAATGAAAGGGATGAACAGTCGCGCTATTATGCTGATTGAAATATGAAGAAGCACACGCGATATGTCCCGGCTGATGCTTACATATACAGGCGCGTTTTTTTGATGAATTTTTTGATGTTCGAAACATTATATTGTTTTCGTTTGTAAGCCTATCCCTCCAATAAAAATGTTTTAGGAGATCGCCAAAGTTGAAAAAAAAATAAAAAATTATATTCCAAGACAACAACCCTCCAGGGATCTGAGAGAAGTCGTGGAAATGTAATTAAGCAACGAGTTTTTGTTCTATTTTTTTTCTTTAATTTCGGAGACTCCCAGTTTGTAATTAATTCACACAATGACTCACCTACACCTGGAACGAATTCGCTTATCCACGGATAAACCACAGCGCGTGTATATTGTACTGTCAAACTTGCTCACCGAGAGAGAAGCTTGGCTAATCTTTTGACGGTAGCAGCCCTCGGGTTACCGATCTCGATCTATATATGCCCGCAAGTACCCAATACACTCCACGACGAATCAGCCAAGGGTACGTGTATACAACCCGCACGTACAGAAAGTCGAGACGAGCACGTCAAAATTCACGTACATTTATACTTGTATATAGGTATGAAATCGGTTACGTGTATTCACAGGAGCGTCCCGACTGCACGTATACGTGCGTACAGCTCAAATTTATCCGATCGATGTGGCCCCCCTTGACGTGCCCTCGCTTACCAGTCACGGCTTAATTTCGCTCTTTCTCCCGACCCGTTGCTCGTGACGCTCGTCCGATTTTCAAACCCCTTGGAAAGAACAGGACCGTCCATTGAACGAGAGAAGAGAAAGGGATAGAGCTCTCGGAAGGATCGAGCGGATGACCAGGGAAGCGCTGGGAAACTCGCAGACTCGGACGACGGGGCCAAAGAGCCACGATCGGGGATCCGACTGCGCCCATTGTTTCTAATGTTATATATTACCTACACTGATTCTTCTCCTCCAGAGAGAGAGAGAGAGAGACAGGAAATTGCTTATGATTGCCAAGCAGCCCGTGTAATCAAGGCTGACGAGCTTAATTGATCGGCCCAGCCTCGGGGCTCCGCGCACCTTTTTCTTTGTATACGCAAGCGGAGCTTTTCCACTTTGATCGGATCGGCCTTCCAGGCGCCCGTAAAAGCTCGGCACTTTGGCACGCAAATATTATATACGCACAGCTGCGCGAAAGCTCCTCCCTCCCGAGTCATCGATATTCCCGATGCGGTACGTTGCTTTTTACAACCGACCTTGAGCCCGTTTTTGTTTGCACCTCATATATACACACGCAACATCACAAACATCAACCGGACGCCCAGAGTTTAACATCGTGATGCCGCTATTACCCCCTACTTTTTTTTTTTTTTTTTTCTTTTTTTTTAAATTCTTCCCGTGTTTGTCATAACAATATTACGCACGTGTAAGATATAGGTAACAGCCAACAAACATACTACACCGGCGGTGTACTCGTGTGGGACTCGGTGTATCGGGGCAAGCGTGGCATCGCGAGGGGGATCTTGCGCACGGGAAAGGGGATAGAATAGAATAGACGGTGAAAATTGACTGACGATTCCAGACTCGGACGTGCATGGTCCGTGTATACACCGTGGCACGGCTAGACGCACGTAATGGGATTAACGGCCCGGGTTGGAGTAAAAGAGAGACAATTGGTCGTAAGTGCAGTGCAACCCGCGCCAGGTCGATTGTACTTTTCCTCCGTACGCTATACGAATATGTACACATATATATATACTTGCATGAAAGCGAGATCATCGGATGTACGAGGAGAAGTGCTGTGGGAGCACAAAATATAGAAGTATATTGTACATATGTGTATATGGGGGTTTAAATGTAAAAGGTATACGTGTTGGTGGAAAGTAGAAAGGCAACTTACTCGGTATCGGGAACTGGTATCATCGGAGCCGGTAGGCGGCCATTGTGCTCGGCGAAGTGGTTAAGCTCGGGCTCCTCTTGGACCGGGGTCTCGTACACCAGGGTCTCGACCATCGAGCCCTTGCTCGAGCCGAACGACACCCTGCAACAGACGATTGTTTTTTTTTTTTTTCTCCTTTTTTTCAGTCGTTCGCTTATATACATTTCGTAGAAAATCGCGAGAAAGAAAATTATAATATGTATCACAGCTTTTTTAAAATTTATTTTCATACATCACCTCCAGAGCGAGTGTTTAATTGTACAGTTACACGACAGTCACTTCTGTACAATTTTACATCACGGGGTATAATTATACAGCAATGCTCTCGTCTCTCTCTCTCTCTCTCTTTTCAAGCTGTATAGACATCAGATCGCGTGACGCGGCTGTTCTCGCCACAAAAGAGCGCGCAGCGGTTCTCGGTGGGTACAGGTACGCGGATGCGATCTGCTTATACGCGCGTTAAAAAATACGTTTATAAAAAAAAAAAAAAAAAAAAAACGAGCAGAAAAAACTATACGAATAAAAAAAAAAGTTCTATTTGGTTTTTGCCACAAATCTATTGGATTTTGTGGACTCTTGTACTTAAATATATATATTCTTAATTAAGATGGCACGGTGCTGTTTGGGCACGAACGAGAGTGCCTTTTATTTTTACTAGAGCAAAAAGTGTCCTTACACCCATATTGTTTCTGGAATAATTTCTTTTTTTTTCCCAAAAAAGGCTGATCTGAGTAAACCCCACGTTGTGTGTGTGTGTGTGTGTGTGCGTGTGTGTGTGTGCCTGTAACGAAGTATCCATCAGACTACAACTCCGTACTAGTGATTATAGCATCCAATTGAAATTTTGTCTTCGCTGTAAAACGTCACGGTTTGTAATCGTAAAGGTTTTGTAGGAGAAAAGCGAATTTTCAGCTCTCTATTACTAGTATACTATAAAGTGCATTCTTATTGCTAAAAAAAAAAAAAAAAAAAAAAATTTCTTCCACCACGGATTACAATACCCTAAAAAAAGTTCTTCCTTGCATAGATGTGTAGTTAGTATTTAGAAACATATTTGGTTTGTTACACATATCGCTCTTATCCACTGAAAATACAAATACAAGGTACGAGCACGGAAGCACAAAATCCACTTCCTATATCGTAAATTCATAAATATAAAGATTAAAGCCGACCTTGACCGCGACGACGTGCAATCATTTTTATATGACACGCGTGAAATAATTGCTCTAGTTATCGCGTTACTCAACTGGCAGTATATATATACGTATACGCACGTCACATGTACGTAGCATAAAATTAAATTTTTTATCGGACCCTCCATCGTCATAAATTATACTGACTCATTTTGTACACGAGCAATTCCACGCTAAAAAAAAATCCCTCAAAAGAAGCGCGCGACAAAAGATAATTTTTTTCGTGAAATCGCTCGTATTGCCCTCGCTGCTCAATTTTTCAATAAATCGTGATTAGTCGGCGTAGCGCCGAATTAAGCGTACACCATTGTGTTGGCGTACAGTCATTCATCAATCATCATCATCATCATTGTCATCGAAATCCATATAACTTTCGTGAGCCAATCTAGTAAAAGTCACACACGAGCACAGCTGGTTTTTCCTTGCCTCCCCCCCGGGTGCAAAGGGGCATTAACTTAATTGTACCAAAGAGAAGGGATAGTATTTGTGCAGCGCAGTGTGTATGTGTGTACTTGTCGAGCACAGTGACACCCGCCTCGTACGTACAACCAGGAAGCAATTTAATACAATATGTATAATCTATACACGTGTTTGGAGCAAAAAATGTAAAAAAAAAAAAAAGAAAGAAAATTCGTATATGGGAAGTGACGCTCAAGAAAACGGCACTCTACAATATTATAAACCGTACATAATATTACGGCATGGGTTTAGCGAACGCGATATGATAGCCTATTGCAAGCTGGTACGTGTACGCGTGACTCATATTATATAATATATGCTACATAATAGTGGTAGTTACATTGGTGACGGACTCAAGGATCGATATGGCATAATTTATACATATGTAATATGTACAAGAACCAGTATACGCGAAGGTGTAGGGTGCTTCGGAAGGCTGTTGCAGCTATACCTACTTATCGCGTTTCTCGTGCAACAAATCGCCCGAAAAACAAGGAGTCGAAGGAAGAAAGCCGGTACTTACACGTGATACTACAACATAGGGCAGACCCCCCCATAATATACCTACATGTCCTACTGTCCGTAAACTATTAACGCAAGAACTCCGCACAGGCTTATATATATATTAGAGTCTCGTCAAGCTTTCGTTCGGCTCTATCTCTCCATTCGCATTGTAAATTCGAGCCTATGGGCCGTTTTTATCCGCCTGTCTGGCAGGTATACCATATAATATATAATAATGCTCACACGTTTGGATAAACTTTGCCGGCCAAGCACGAACTTTCGAAAGGCATTTCACTCGTACCTGTAAACCGAAATCGATTTGTTTCGTGAATCAATGAGGATTCACGATTGTAAGTAATTCCCTCTCATGGATACTGACGGTAAAATTCCTATACTCTATAGATGTAATATAGTTACTATGCATTTTTGTCGTATATATTTCCGATCGATGCAAAAAGGCAATGGTGTTGGGTGTATCGTTTGTTGGTCCATCGGAAAGAGTATCGGTGCTGACATCTGTGAGCTTACCGAACAAACTCTCTCGTAGCAAACTTTCGCTCCGATCTGGAAGTGGGCGTGCGAGGGTGCGAGGGCGGCATAGTTTTTTTTGTCCATCGCATAGTCGCGAGAGATAAAGGAGAAAGGGAATTGTGCATTGCTGCATTGGCAAACAATGATGTATGTATTGGGTATGGGGTAGGTACGTCTATACCGATTCGCGCGAACGCGTCAAAGTCACGTGGACCTCTTTTCGATCCTGTACATGTTGTTTGCCCGCCGCGAGCCTGATACCGGTTACCTATATCTTGCTTTTACACGAAGCTTGCGAACAACTCGCAATCATACGAACGTGTCTAAAGCCCTGTTTTTTTTTTTTTTTTTTAATCGAGGCTCTATAGTAAAAACAAATAAATAAAGATTCTGATGTAAAAAATTAAATTGTACACTCCCTGCAGTGAGTCTATTCATATTATTTTTCAACATCACCAAAGTAGATGGACGCGGCTGATTTAAAATAAAAACCTTACCTTAAAGCGGCGCTATGTGTGTGTGTGTGTATTTTTTTTACATTGGACAAAAGAAAGAAAAAAAAAAAAAACAAACAAAAACAAAAACGAACGAGTTGCACAATCGCGGTCAATATCGCGAAGGAGGAGGAGAAGGTCGAGAGAGCCGTTCTGAAAAGTCGCGGACTCATTGAGCGGGCCTCTTTTGCGTCTTTATGCGTCTTAACGCGCACATTCATACACATGCACACCAAGGTATACGCGCACAACTTTGTCACATCCTCGTAGCGCCAAACGGTATGATGCAACTCGCTCCCCCCTGACGCGCGTCTGTCTTTTTTTTGCATATAAACACGCACACGCGCACGTGTGTATGTATGAATGAACGAGAGATGCTGCGCGCATTCATATATATACACGGCGACGAGCGGGACTCTCGTAAGTGCACTTCCACGAACGCCCCGACGACGATCATCATCATCATCATCGCCGTCATCGTAGCAATTGCGGACACTGGTGTTATATAGGTAGAGTCTGTTATGCAAACGAATTCGTGTATATACATTACACGCGAAGGCGCCGGGCGTTAATTTATAAACCGGCTCAATCGTCCCGCGTCCTTTTATCTCCGGGACACCATCTGCGGGAGTATCGCGTTTACCGGGTGCTATATCTTGGATCGAGATTTCGAAAGGTATTACATTTTGACTGTTGCTCGATGAGTTGAGCGCTTAAATTTTTCTTACCCCCCCCCCTCCCCTATAAATATACACCACGCTAATAATATATACGAATTTGCGATATCGATCTCGTAATATATGCGTGCGAACGGCTGCACAAAGTGCTAAGAGATTCGTCAAACGGCAGCATCACACGTGAGTGCCAAAAAACGCGCAAACGCTTTACCTGTCATCATGTAAAAATAGACACGTAGGTGTAATAAAGAGACCTAATATATATATACTTGCGGGGGTAACTCGCAATGTTTTGTCAAAAGCTTGGCGTTTTACCGTCACTCTTTGGGTTGCGTTACCGATTCTTCTTTCGCAACCCAACACTTTTTTTTCCACAAACATATAAATATCAAAGTCGTTTTTTTTTCTCTGTTCTTTGGTAAACATCCCGCACACATAGCTCGCGGACTATATGGTTCACATCTGTTTTTATTCAGCAATAGTTTTGACAGCTAGCCAATAACCGACGCGTATACGCGAGATCTATATAAAAGCTGATGATTACATCGGATCTTTTTACCTGTTTATTCGGTGCATGGATGTATTATAGGTATACTTATAAGCGTACACACGCGCACTCGAACCACCAACTATATGATCGGCGCCCGATACAATAAATAAGTAGCCACGCGATGAAAACGCGCGCCTTGACACTGAACGCCACGCAGCACACGAGCGTACACTTAATACCCTACTTTTTTTCCCTCTCCCTCCCCCCCCACTCGCAATCATTTACCACCTCCTCGTTATTAATTACGCGTGCACGCGTGTAATACCGGTATCATGTGTATGTATTGCGCACCGGGTGCACATGTATACGTACATGTAACCGGTAATGGGTATATGTATATAGTGTCATAGTTGTTCTCGCGCGCGCGGCAGCGTGACATAACGTATCGGTCATCGGTGTAAGTACCACACAGCTGATGGGGCACGAGTGGCATAGCTGCACGTTTATACACTCGCGTCTTTTCCACCTCGCAAAAAAAAAACACGAGTCAGCCTCTTCCAATTATCTTCCTCCCCTCCCCTGCCCCGTTCGACATGTGTCGCCATCAATTCCCGACATTCCACACGCGGCAGTGATCTAATTTGCAGTTTGCAAGCTCGGCGTGCCAAAGTATCCGTATATAATATACGCGCTGCGGTCGTGTACAACATACGTCATCTTTCGGAAATATTCTTTTTTTTTTTTTCTTATTGTTTTTTCTTTATCTTTCTAATGTTAAGTATATACATATAAGAAAACTCACCTCTTGAGGTTGGCGTGTTTGGCGGGGGCGTTGATGGCCCGGCTCTTGCGGCCCTCGCTGGCCGCCGCGCTCGCGTCGCTGTCGATGCTGTACAAGCTGTCGTCCTTGGTGACCTTGGCGCTCGTGTGGAGGGTGGGCTTGCGCATGACGGGTGCCGGCTGCTGTTGCTGCACCGCAGTCGACAGGGACGAGGTCGACGTTGGTGGTGGCAGAGCCGGTGGTGGTGGCGATTGGAACAAACGGGTGCCCGCGTCGCCGTTAGAGTGCTTGCGGGGAGTGTCGAGCGGGAGTAGGGGCGCCGCCGAGCCGGGCCTGGGCAATTGGTGGTGGTGGTGGTCCTCGCGGTGCCGGCCAAACATCATAGTGCCGAAACTCGTGGTTCGCGTGACGCCCCCTCGCTGGCGGTTCTCAGACGGGCACTCCTCCTCGGCCGAGTAGACCGAGTGCCTGATGCCGTTGTGCCTGTTTATCGCCGATGCCGATGCCGACGTTGTCATCGTCGCCGGGGTCGCCGATGACAGGGGACGGTAGAACTGGGTCGGATCGCCGGACGGAGGCTTCTCCTCGGCGGGTAGTATGTACGACAGCATTTTGCACGGCTCCGCCCTGGGGCTCTGAGAAGCGTCGATCATTGGTAATTTTGGACCACCTCTCTCTCTCTCTCTCTCTCTCTCTCTCTCTCTCTCTCTCTCTCTGTTTGTGTATGGTCGCAGGAGGAGGGTTGCGGGGTGGTAAATTCAAATTTTTTAAACTTTGATGTCAGTGTAGCACGTATACATACAACAATAAAGGAAATAATATATAGAGTGCAAGTGCAGGTCAAGAAAGAAACACACGTGCACTTTACTCGAGATTTTTTATTTTTCTCAACGAGAACGCATACTTGCGCTTTCTCTTCCCAAAGTGCCCATGAAACTTCATACTCATGGCGATCGGTATATTTTTATCATTTACGAGGAATAAAAATATACTGATGTAGGTATACGTGATAGAAAGAATGTATAGGTATGTACAATACGATTTAATTATACGTACGTGAATCGAGGTATAGGTATCTTAGTATACGTATGATGTAGTAAAATAAGTACAATTATTGCATGTGCGCAGTAAATGAAAAAAAAAAAAAAAAAAAAAAAAAACTAGCCTATATATAGACGTATATTGTGCGTACTTATATGCACAATTTTCGTCGCAATAAAACGCAACGCCGGCTTGCACACGTACACAACGGTAAAGCGTGAAATTACTTTATCGCCCGACAGCCGCGCGCTGCGGGTGTATACTAGATGAGAAGAAAAAAAAAAAAGCTCCGACAGCAGCCAGCACTCGTTGAAATCAGTGAAAACGTACACCTAGTGTAGGTAGATACAGATGTAATAAGAATAGCGCATTAAAGCCGGGCGTTGATTATCAGATCGAGCGCGTGTGTGCACGTGTACGAGCGATGCACGCAACTTTCACGCGTTGGGCGAAACCTATTAAAACAACATTATCGTTGCTGATATGCCTATGCATTTTATTTGCCAATGTTTCAATCAAATTTATACTTTATCGAAGAAAAAAAAGAAAGAAACCAATCAACAACTCTCGCACAACAGCACTCATATATATCATGCGTGGGCATCACCCACATTTTAAAAACGTATATTCAAGTGCACTTGGAAAGAAAAAGCTCGCTGCTGATGCTCTTGCGCGCTCGGGGAAACTTTACATATACATAAGCGTGGTTTATACAAACACGTATGGATGTATATATATATGTAACTCGAGAATTTTACCTATACGTATATATATATTCTGTATCACCGCGGTTGTATTAATATGAGTGGTGTGTATTATAAAGCACATATAATAGAGAGAGTCGGCCGCGTCGCTCTGTTTACCTCGGCGCGGCCGCGTACGCGAGGAGAACGCGCGCGAAACTGCAGCGCCAAACGGAGCATCGCAGCGGCAGAGCTTGCGCGCCCGAAATGTTATATAGCGCGGCAATACGCACTTGCCCGTCGTCATTGCACGTCCAACCTACTGCCTGTATAACTATATATACGTGCACTGCTTATCTTTTGTATATGTGTATACATACAGCGCGAGAATATATATCGGACGGCGGTGCTCTATAGCTTCTTCTTCTTCTTCTCTATACTTTTGCAGCTGATACACGTGTGTAAGTACCTCAGGCTGTGACGCGAGAGCTGTTGTATGTGTGTATGCGACGGAGATTGGCGCGTATATCTTTTCCTAATCGCCTTACGAGATGACAACGACGAGACGATGTTTTTTTTTTTTTTTTTTTAACTCGAGAAAAAAATATTAATTTTATAGGTATGAGGATCTAGGCTTTATCATCGATGAATCATAGATCGTCAATTGCACAGTATACATTTTAATAAAGGAATTCTTTTTTTGCCTCCCAGTGACAATCGTTCGGTCGATTAATCTCACCGAGAAATCATTATTAATTTATTTCGTACGAAATTTGTAGTGTACTTTGTTGTGCGATTCACGAAAATGGTGTTGATTGAATTTCAAACTGTATGACGTGGCGACTTACCTATCGTAGGAAAAAAAATCGAGGCAAAGGTCCGGGCTGGGCGTCGGCACAGCATCTGAGCGGTGGGTCTGAAACGCACAAAGAGAAATGAAAATCATTTAAAAAATCGTACAGATTCAACAACGTTATATAACATGTACATAGGACTCGGGAAGTATATCTACTATAGAGTTCAGTCACTCGCGCCAAATTAATTTTCCTTTTTCCTTTTTTTTTTTTTTTTCCTTTTCTCCCCCCATTTGAAAACCCATTATACCGCGGTCTAAAGACAGTCCCTCGGAGCCGCTCCGTGCACACACGGGGAGGAGTATATTTATAAGTTCTTTTTTTTCTTTCTGTCCCACACACATAGACGCACACAGTGCAGGCAGACGTATTTTTCAATGAAGCCCGGGAAGAGCGCGCACGAGCAGAACCTAGAAGACAGCAGCCCTGGAGGTAAGTACGGTGGAAAGGGGCGCGGATTTCCATTGCTGAATAAACACCTGTTTCACCAGACGAGCGAAGCATCAGCCGCGGGTATATAGACCGGTCTTGTCGTTGAGGAGGTCGTTGACTCCGAGTGACGACATTAATGATATACACCGAGGGATGAGTAGGAGGGGGCGCGAGAGCTTTGGCGATGTAGAGAACACACTAGTGACACGATTTTTTGCTATCTAATATACCTATAGCTTTTCGGGGGGGGGGATGTAGATACTCTCTTGGTCATTATTTCGAGGGGAAGGGGAAAAAAACCTGTAGAAGCCTATTCAGAGTGAAAAGAGAGGCTGTATTGCCAAGCGAAAATTACTTTTCACTAGTGGTGACGGGTGCAAAGGGCGAGTGGAGCTTTGAACCCCTCTGGCAGACGGCTCGTCTCGCTTCCACGAGGCTACTGAGGTTTTTCAACCAAAGGGGCTCATCTAGAGACGCGTATGTTTGTTTGTTTTTAATTTTAGTTTTTCTTTTTTCTTTTTCCTTAAGAAAAATTTTTTTAATTGGTAAAAATATTTTGCACGATTTTTAAAGCCGTTAAGGTGCTGCTCACGTTATTTTGACACATATAGCATGGTGCAAAGCTCATCTCGTTAATTTAAAAATTTATAACAACACAAGCACGAGAGTACATGCACACGGTATTCGTACATTTAAATATAAAGTAGTGGTGGACCGACAATACAAAATCACCGCACGCAACGGCATCAAGGGTGTATATGAAAAGTTGATTGCGTGACTCTGTAATTTTGATACGCCATTTTATACGTAGATACAATTATACGCGCATCGCAGTAAAAAGATAGGAGGGTATACTGTGCCTCATCAAATATCACCCCTCCCCTTCCATAGGGAGGGAGGAGCGCAGTAAAGTGATGAATTTGCATGATGACAATGGCGCGTCATCAGTGCACGCACACCGAATATTTTAAATATATATGTATATGTATATGGGAATTGTAGGCACCTATACGGGTGTGGGTGGTGCGTGATTTATTTTTTTTTTGGTTCACGTTATTCCTCCCCTCTTTGGATTTTAGGTCTATTTGGAATTGCACGCGTGCACCCTCCGCGACATGATTTTATATTCTTCTTATATGGGTACGACATATTTATATATACGCAAAGCGATGGCTTTTATTTTCCGATTTACACGACATTCAACATGAAAAAGTATACATTAACTTTTTTTTTTTTTTCCCAATCGTCAGGTGTATAATTAACGTATAAACAATAGGCCACGCATTGGTTGGAGAAAAAAAAAAAAAAAGCTCATCTTCCTGGCGACGGCGTTAGTTTCCGGCCCGAGCGTGACTTCCTGCTCTCACGTATTACAAATGCGTGCAGTGTGCTTCGCGCAAGTGGGCCAGGATGCGATTCCTAACGTCGATATATATACGTACAGCTCTCTTGGATCGATTAGTAATTTTACACTATCCATACATATACCTACGGTCTTTCCTTATAGGTTTACAAGAGAGAAAGAGCTTGTGAGAACGGCTGCAGCAGAGGTATAGCTTGCACATAATATATACATGTATGTACACCTACTTGTAACCTCACACGGTGATGGGACGAGGAGGCGGAAGCTGCCTTTCGAGAGTCACGTATATATACACACCGCATGGGAAAGTTCATTGCGCGTGTATTCGGGGTACCGTGGTGCGATCAGAATCAAGAAATCGATATAGTGTGAATTTTTTTTTTTTTCTCCATATGTAGGAAGAAAAGTCCGCGCTAGTGCGTGAGAGAGGTGCTCGGGGTTTTGTTTGTCGTGCGACGCTCGTCGCGAGGTCGAATCGTTTGGGTGTATTCTCCTCCCCCCCCCTGTATGTATTAATTACCAAACACACGATACACACTAGTTTGCGATGAGGTAATGCGCGACAGTCTACATTCATTACTTGCATGACTGTCAGCTGCGAAAATAGCTAATCGTCGACGCTTAAGTCATCCTCTATGTCCCATGTGCAGGTTGAAAGAGCCTAAATGGTGTTTTTTTTTGCCACCGTGTATACACAAAAAGTCGCAGAGTAAGTAGGGGGAGGACACACACGCTCGTGTACATTTAGGTATATACTTATTTGTCCTTGTCGGAGTAACCATCGTTAAACATTCATTTCTCGAGGACACCAAAACCATCAAAGTTGGTAAACATTCATTGTTTTAACGAGTGTCACACATACATGTGGAGTATACTCAAACCCTACAGGCTATACCTATGAATCATTTTTTTTCTTCTCTTGATGGCAAGCAACGGTATACTGTTACACCATTATAGATGCCTAACATCTGTTATCCGTCTTGGGGATGAGTTGTTGTGGAGTTTACACACAAGGGAAGATCGATGCGTGGGATCTCGCCGACTCCTCGCACTAAGAGGCGAGAAAGATAGGAAGGAACGAGGAAATAAAGCAAAGGAGGACAGATAGGCGGCCCCGGGTGATACGAACAAGTATATATATACCCGCAAAACTCAAGGGCCCCTTGTTCTCTATACTCCTCCTATCCGTGTTTTTGGGCTCTCGCGTTACTCGCGTCGCAACTGGAGGAAAAGACCGCCTGCAACTCTCGGCACCCGATGGGTGTCACTGTCGTCTATCTTCTTTTTTTTTTGGAGGAAAAAAAAAAGAAAAACACGCATGAGACGGTAGCTCCACGTGTGTCTCGCGATGACAAGTATACGAACCGCGAACGTCCCCCAATGACTCGCTGGAGGATAATAATTATGCTGTTACACAACGTATAGGTACCCTGGCGCTGGGAAGCAAATTTTACCATCGGCCCCGCGATGTCCCCAGGAATACGGACGCTGTTTCCCACACAGTTCGCCGATGTGCCGGCCGGCTGCTCTAACATCATCATCGACGCTCTTGTACTCCCAGAGAATTGTTTCACCAGAGGCCGGCTCGTCGGGTCATTGAGCAATGTTTTTTTTTTTTTTTTTCTTCTTCTCCACAGGTTCGTAAAAACGCGAGCTCGAGAGAAAGGGACGCTCGACACGCTCCGCGAAGCCGGCACGGCTTTTAGGATGAAAAAAAAAAAAAATCTCTTCTCTCTCTCGCCTATGTACCTTTATTATTCCCAAGGCCCCTTGGATGTTTCGACACGCGCGTAAATGTACTACCGTCGCCGTGTATATACATGCAGTGCTAACAAACGAGGTAAGTTCACAAATGTTGGGTTTATAAATACATGTATATAGGTATGAGGAAGAAAGAATTGGGCGTTGAAGAAAAAAAAAAAAAAAAAAAAAGGCACTCCAAGTTGCGGAAAATCGTCACTGTGGTTATACGTCGACGAATACCTGGGGGTACGGTCTAAATTATCGTCTTCCGCTCCGCGAGCACTCGCTGTTATTTCTTTTTTTTTTTTTTTTTTTTTTTCGCTCCTATCTCATCTAGGTGTATGCGAGAGGATGCTGTTGTCTCGGTGTGGCCTCTGCATGCCCCTCTCGGCTCTGTAATCCACGCTTTCGTTCTTTCGTTCTGCGCATCAACGTAACTGTACCCATAGATGTATATATACACATTATTATACCTGCAGACT